AATGATTTAAATAGTGAGGTAATGAAGTACAGAACTGCTATAAACATGATTAACTAATCATAACGTATTTATTTCATTGATATTTCGACAGAATCCACTGTCATCATCAGAATGAAAAAAGTGTAAACGAGTGTGTCAAATTTGAAACTATACATAGTCAAATATAGAGTGCAAAAGGAAAAGAGAGGGAAAAATAATAAAATATAGAACAAAAAACACGTCCAGTCTGTAGATGAGTAGAGTCGACAAAAAGAAGCGCTTATTTCTGTTATAAGGACATATTTGTGCCGCATATATTGCACTCTTAGAGTATTAATCAGAAAACTTTTAGTTTATATTTTACATCGTTGATAGCTTTTTCTCTTTTACGATGGAAGTATAAAATAAGCGACAAATGTGCGGTTCCGATAGAAAAAGAAATGTGACTTAATCAGTATAATGAAAAAAATTATATTTTGCTTATAAAAGAATGTACGAATTGTTAAAATCCATATTTTCATTCTTTTCGCTTGGTTTAAGAAATAGTTCGTGGACCATCTGAAATCTCTTGGAACTGGTTTTCACCCTTACCTTAGGCAGTGCAGTGTTGTTGCTACACAGTGGGCAATGAGGCGAAATAACGAAAGTGAGATTCTACGAGATTCAAATAGTGTCATGTATACACTATTCAATGGTAGATTTAATGATAAAAAAATTTTGATCTAAGTGCTTAAGTTGGCCGAGAAACCTAAGTTTCAATTTTAGGTCAGTTTTTGCGATACTTTTAGGAAAACCGCTTTTCTGTTTCATAAGGCAGTGTTATTAAAAACCGTGACACAGATCTTCTGAAAGCTTAGGCTGTAACCTATCGGTTTATAAAAAGTTTCTCCTTAATGCCTTTTCTGCTCAGTAAAAATTGTTTTTTTGCTATGCTGGGTGTTTTTCCCAAGGGTTTTTTCAAAACACGTATTTAGTAAAGTGAACGCGCTAATTATTGCTAACGAGTAAACGCAATGAAACTTTCAGAGAATATTCTCTTATAAGTAGTGCATCTACAAAACTTGCAGAAACATGCCGTTCTTTTCCATTGGAAAGTTATAGGTTTTACTAGAAACCTAGTTTTTCAGCGATATTTTCCGGTTTTCTCGGCTAGGAAACATCCTATCTAAAAACTAAGGACATATTCGGAATCAACGTAGAAAACTGCATCTAATGATGTGTCTTTTTTGCTAATGGTGGCGTTTAAAAATTTTCATCATGGTTTTTCGGGGGGTTTTCAGAGTCCGAATCTCTAGAAACAACACTATCAATATAAAAGAGAAACGAGCAATTTCTATATAACACTAATTGTAAATGTTCAATCTGATCAGCTACATCTGATGAAGACATCTTTTGAAGCTGAAACGCTACACCATATAAATAAAATTATCAAGAAAGAGAAAATTTTAAAAATTCAGTTCATGTTGACCTTTCTCAAAGGTAATCAAGTGTATTGTTAATTTGCAACTCATAGTAGAGTTTTAATTAGTCTTTGTTTAATCACCTTTCAAACTGTGGTAATGCCCAATAACTTTGGAATATCACATGCAAATTTGTTATGATGCGTTTTTCTTAAATTCAGCTGTGCATAAATTTCACGACAAACAACAACAAAGATAAATCCAAAGAAGTATACTTCCTTTAGATTAAACAATCGGACAATGGAAGATGAAGTAATTTCTCACATACATAAGAACTTCAACCAAAATGTTCAAGATGTTCAACCATTTACAGTTGTATGGCTGGTTACATCTGACGCAAACTTGACAGAAGAAGAAAATAAACGAATATTCAAGACACTTCGTACAAAGTACAACAATCTTAAAACATTTAACAAAATTGGAATGTGTGAAGACTATATTAAAAAAATGGAACTTGAAAATATTATTTTAGTTATTGCTACTCAGTCTTGTTTTCCCTACATTACTCTTCGACATGTTCATGATCTACCACAGTTAGTTGCCATTCATATTTACGGCATCGATGAAATGCCGTATGATGGCTGGAAGAAATACGAAAAGGTAAAAACTACTTACTTTTTGGCAGTTTATTTTCTAAAATAGAGTATCTGTCAGCATCATAGAGGCCTTCTTCTTTTCGATTAGAAGAGTACAATGACAAGACGCTTGTGCAAAGTTGCAAGAGTAAATTTCGAAAGGGAGAAGAAGCATTAGGGTGCGTATAATAAAAATTTAGCATTTAAAGAAAGGCCGGTAACGCAAAGTAATAATAACTTAATGAGCGTGATATTGCTTTGAAAATTTTCCAAATTTCTCGGTAAAAGACTATATGAGATAGTGTAAATTTCGTTTTATGGGTAAAGAAACATTTTTTAAGTTTCTCGTGTAAAGATAATAAAAAAGATTTCATTCGTGGAAGGATCGTAAATTGTATTCTCTGTGATTGTACCTAACCGTAATTATGCCATGGATATCTTTTGAGAATTTGATGATTTCCCAAAACCTTTTTGGAACTTCCTAGCGCTTAATGTGAAGTCTATTCTAAATTGGTACACAAAAACTATATCCATTGAGAAAGGGGTTCAATAAAGTAAAACGTTAAGTAAAAGGTTTTAAGCATTTAGCGGATTTAAACTATTAAGAACAAAAGAAGCGTTTCAAAGTAGACAAAAAAATGTTTTCAAGAATATTCGCAATGATTATTTCCGAAACTTTTATTCATGATTTCTCTTCAAACTAACAAATTTTTTAGTTTTGATAAACGAAATGTTCTTTTTGTTATCAGTTACAAAACGAGGCATTTATCTATCTTGCTCGGTTGACTGATGTATAATTCACTAAGATTAAACAAAGTATGATTTTCTTCGTATTTTGTATAAAAATTTGTAAATTAATCTTATTATTAATTGTGTTTAGGTAAAGTCTGTGGTTTCAACAAGTGATAAATTAATTGAAAGGCTTTCGCGAGATCATTTTGAATATAGAAATCTCAAAAATATAAAACTCTCGTCGGACTTCAATTTATCTGGACAATCCTATCAAAATATGGTATTTGACTCGCTTCAAGTATTATTGGTTCAGTCATTTGTACAAAACATACTACATTGTGTCAATATAGACGAAAGTTCTACTATGAATGAATGCGTTGAACTTTGTAAACAAGGTTACAAAGATGAAAAAACTTTGAAACGAGTTGATGAGTTTGAACGTACATATTGCTCATCTGATGCTGTGTGGTGGTATTCTAAGGAAATTTTTGTTTATGAAAAACTAAATATCGCTTTTCGAAACCATGATATCCGTAATTTATTAAAATTTGGATTTTTTATTCGTGATTTACATAACCAATTAAGAAAATTGCAAGATGAACAAATGTTAAGTACAACAACATCCATAATAACAGTATATAGAGGGCAAAAGTTATCTAGGGAAGAATACTATAAGCTTAAAGCAAGCCGAGGAAACTTTATTACAACAACTAGTTTTTTATCAACTAGTGCTAATATACATGTGGCAGATATGTTTGGTCCAACAATAATCTTTGAAATAGAAGCTGATCTTCGTCTTAAAACAAAACCGTTTGCTAATATAACACATATCGCCCATAACCCCCACGAAGATGAAGTATTATTTATGCCTGGTTCAATATTCAAAGTTTTAGATTTTTATTATGATGAAAAATACAAAAAGCCGATATGTAAATTACAATTACGAGAAGACAGTGATCCTGAAGCAAACGAAATTACTTGTGTGATTACTGGAATGAAAAATAATTCCAATGATGATGCCTCTACACTCGATCGTCTATTATCACTCGAACGATTGATTTCGACATTACCTAAACATACAGACGGTGGAAAAAATCTTAAATTTCTTATGCATTATTGTTATGCAAAGCTTACAGATTTTAAAAGAAATCACGTATCCAACTTTATAAATGCAGCCAATGCAATAATAGAAGAGATAAAATTAAGCCATAAAAAGAATGGAATTTCACTCAGTAGTGATGAGACCGCCCAATTGGAATCATATGTGGATGCTTACAAGGCGAATCAAGATAAGTATATAAGTAAGTAAGTAATAAGTAAATATCAAGATAAATATATATATATATATATACTTGTCAACCTCGCAAAAAGTTACATTGTGCACGTTTAGGAAGAACCAAGATCCGTGACATAGTATTTTTGAGGAAATAGTTAGTTCGTAATCTTAGATCTAAACTGCTAATAAATACCTAAACTTTCAGGGAATGCTGACCATGTCAAAGTGTGGTGACGAAATTGTTTTTGGCTCTACTAGCAACTGTTCGTGAGA